CCCCACCCAGCGCCTCCCGTCTCCGGGCGGCTTGACCGAAATTGGGGAGATGGCCTAGGGTGAGGTGGCAGGAGAACGGTGCAGGGCGTGTCCCGGGGACCAGAGACCGGAGACGCGGGCTCTGCTCCGGCTTCATGGGAAGGTGCTGCCCCAGAGCCGCCTGCGAGGTGGACCCAGGGTCCAGATTTGCCCGGGCCCCAGGCTAGCTGAGAGGTGCGGCCCTGGGCAGGTCACTTCAGCTTTCTGAGCTTAGTTCCCTCGTCAGGATTTCAAAAGTGAGAAAAAAAAAGAAGCAAAACCAAACCCAAACCTTTGACTTCCTCATTTTCCCGAATCTTATATTTTGTAACTATCCCTGGGACATTACTGAACTGCAGGCGCGATAGTTACCCCTGGCCAAAAGAGAAGTTTTTTGGGATCTTGAAGTTTTAGATTTTATTTTATATTCTGCGAATAATGTTCTGTTTTTAAGTTAATTTCACTCAACAGTTATATGTCAGGTGTTGTGTCACATTTGTGACATTAAAGATGGATAAGACCAGGCCCTGCCTTCAAAGAACGTTTAATCAGAGAGGCAGGTGTACGATCTAGTGATAATAAAGATAAAGGTGCCCATGAACTAACTAGGCATAAACAGTAATGTGGGCGAGGAGGAGAGGCTTGGGGAAGGCAGTAAGAACATAGGTAGGGCATTTGAACAGAGAGCCTTGCAGGATGCTGTGTAGTTTGACAGGGGTAAGGGACTTGACATGAATAGTAAGAGCTTGGACTAAGGAATTGAAGAATAGGAGAGCACTATGTGTGTTGGAACTGAGTGGTGCAGAGTGCCCAGTGCTGGGAGGGAGTCTAGGGAGAGGGAGAAGAGTTTCCACAAGTAGTTGGGGCTAAATTGGGAAAGGCATTGAATGCCATCCCCAGGAGTTAGGAATTTATTCCACATCCTGGGTGCCCATAAAGGAAATGGATTGCTTTGAAGTGAAGCTATAGCCTTTTGAGACATACTGCCTGGGTTTGAATCCAGGCCCCATCATTTATTGACTGTGAGACTAAGATCATCAGCCTTAATTTCCTCATTTGTGAAATGGGAGTGATAATCACAGGATTGTTGTGGGGCTTCAAAGAGCGAATGCATGTAAAATGCATAGCACAATTACTGCCACTTAGTTCTCAATGACTGCTGGCTTTAGTTAGTAATGAAAGAGGGAAAAACATTAACTCTGGAATTTACAGAGTCTGGCAGATAGACCAGCACAAATTTAGACCAAAATCTCGTCAGTAGTTTTCAAGTCACACTGAAATTTAGTACATGTTCATATAATTGTATTTTTAACAAAGGGTAGGATGAACATAGTTTATTTTTTTCTCTTAACGGAGGCACTGGGGATTGAACCCAGGACCTCGTACATTCCAAGCACACACTCTGCCACTGACCACCCCCTAGGATGAATATAGTTGAAGCCCCATGGTTCCTGTTTTAGGAAAGTTATTGTGGTACACCTGGCTGTCCACACATTACCCTGATTCTCTAGGAGATTAGCAGGAATTTTATCGCTCAGGAGGTTACAGATCCTTGTACTTACATTCTTTCTTTCATGTTTTAGCTGTCCTGGATAATGAGAGACTTACTGCAGAGGAGATGGATGAAAGGCGACGTCAGAATGTGGCTTATGAGTACCTGTGTCATTTGGAAGAAGCAAAGAGGTAAAGAAGGGATGACTGGAGAGAAGATTGGGAGAAGGGAGCTGATCTGGTGTGGACAGAGATAAAGATCTCTTTGAGTATGTTGTAGGTATGACTGTGGGAGGCTGGTAGTTTAAAGGAGTAAGTCAGTCCACATAGGGTGTTTTTCATGGGAGCAAGTAGCCTTGATGGCAGTTTATCATGAAACACTTCAATGGGCAAAATATGTATACTAAGAAACTTCCAGTTTGTGGTGTTCAGTTTTATGCTTTATGGTGCATGTTTTGGGCACTACCACCCAGCTGTGAGGGAGAAATATCATTTTTAAGGTTTGAAGTTCTTGGCCTTAATATTTCACTGGTTCTTCATTAGTTTTGATTTCTATACAAATTGGGTCCATTCTCCCCTTGGAAGTGCTCTGGGTGTAGGTCCATCCATTTGGCAATGTGCAAAGACTGTTTACTAAAGCCAGCGTCCTCTGCATTCTTTGTGAAGTGAATGTACAACTGCTGTTTTCCTTTTACAGATATTCCAAGACCTTGTGGTCTTATTCTTAGAGTGTTGATTTGCTATCAGTGGTTCCTTTCTTTTGTTCTGGTGCCTGTGTTCCTTTGCAAGGTCCCAGGGTAGAGAGATGTAATTACAGATCATGTATCCTATAAGTGAGCATTGGTGGGTAATAAAAAGGGATAATAAAAGGGTTTTGTGGTTAAAGTCTAATGAAAATTGAGGGTGTTTCAAATGGTGCTAATAAACAAGAGTGTTTTTGTCTTGTTTTGTCTTTTTAATTCTGAAAATTTTAAAATGCTACAGAAAAGTCCAGAGAACGATACAACAAACATCTACGTATTTCAGAACTAGCAAATGTTAGCTCTTCAGATTTTTCCCTTTTCTCTCAAAAGGCACAGTTGGAGTCCCTTTTGTGTCCCTCCCTGGTCCCATTCTCCTTCTTTCCATTCCTGGGGCCACCACTAACATGTGTTTGGTGCATCTTGTTGAATCTGGGCTTCTTTTCTGAGCTTTAAGCCCTTTCATTAGACTGGGGGAGAATTGTGGGGAGATTAGTGATGATTTAGGTGGAGAGGATGATAATAACACTTGTTTTTTTAAATGGAAGATTAGACCACAGGAGGTGAATATGTTACTAGAAGACGTTTCTCATACAAAGTTTGTAAGGGCCCCATGAAAAAAAAATTAAATCCTTTGCTACTTAAATTGTAGACCAAATCTAGTTTTGGAAGGTATAGAATTTGAAAGCTGCAGCTGGTACGAGAGACCGTCTTGTGCTCTGTGAAGTCTTGGTGTCTTTGTTAAGGTGACCTGGGGATGAGAGAGAAGGGCCCCAGCTTGCCTTCCTTCCCCTGGCTATTGCGTTTCTTCTTTTATTGGGTTTCCATTGTAAAATTCCCTTTTTTTTTACAGAGGGTATCTTGGCTAACACTCCCTTGCTACCACTATTCTAGTTGTACTACTAACCTGGTGCAGCCACCTCATTTCAGTGAGGAGACTGAGGCCTGAGCTTTCATGGTCTACTTGTCATTTTCTTAACTGAAGAATAGTTTTCATCATTTTATACAGTGGTTCTTAACCAGGTGTGTATATTAGAGTCACCTAGGGAACTTTTTAAAAAATACATATCTATCTTATGACACAGATTCTGGTTCAGTAGATCTGGGCTGGAAGGTCCAGATAGCTATATATTTTAAATGCTTTTAGTGGTTCTGATGGTCCTCCCTCCCCCAGTAGAGAAACAAGATTTTAAACATTTCTAGAACTCTTATCTTCTGCTGGGTTATGATAGCCTGGATAGGATGATGCACTTCATCACGTTTCCTTCTTCAAGTGCTGCACTAGTAAGGCGCTTCATTTCCATCTACTGTAGAGCACTCTGTCAGGTGTTTTTTCCCCCATAATAGGAAAGGAGCCCATTTCCTTTAAAATCCATCCAGAAGGCCATGATCCCCTGGGATGTTTTTTAGTTGGGTGCTTTTGCATACTTAGGAAGTGACTAAGGCACTGAGACATTTGTGATAGTCTTTATTTTTTATGCTTTGGGTTATAAGGGAGAGCATAACAGTGGCATATTGTCCGGGTACACTCTACGCTTTGACCTGGCATCAAGGAAATGTGCTTGGTTTATTTTATGGAGGCAATCATATACAATCTGGATGCAATGTTTTTTTGTTGTTGTTGTTTGTTTTGTTTTTGTTTTTTTGCTTAAAGCTTTGATTAGGTAATAGATACTGTAGTTTTATATATCTATCATTTCAGTGAAGAAGAGGCAGTTGCAAAAAATTTTTTTAAGTTTTTTAGATTTTTTTTTGATTAGAAGATCAACTTTGGAAGCACCTATTTAGATTTTACAACTAGAGAGGATTATGAAAAAAAGCCTAGGATTGTCATGCTGAGAAAAGAAGATTGGGATCCCTCCTGGCCACCTAATGTGGCTGCTCTCTCCACTAAAAATTGTTTGAGGTGCACCACAGACAAATCACATGCTCTTCCTAATAAGCTGGGGCTTCAGCTCCCAGTTGTGTCTCCTACCCTCATGAGCTGGGTTGTGCCTTGTGTGCTGCTGAGGTCCCACTTTCCCCTCTAGCACAAGTCCATTTTGCCTTTTTGGACTGACCCCATCCTGTTTCCCTCATACCTCCACCCCTTCCAAGTTGGAGGAGTCCCAAGGTCTGGAATTTACACCCGCTTCAAGGCCAGGGAGAAAGATCAGAGAGATCCAAGGGAGAAAAGGTTTCCCTCTTCAGTTCTATTTATAATGCTGCTACTCCTCCCACTAAAAGCTCCACCTTATAGCACAGTGGCCCCATTGTGTATCCCAGGATACTCTATTTTCTCCTGTACCTGTACCAGCTCTTTCGTGGGAAGAGAGGAGCGTGTGTAGAGACAGAGCATATAAATGTGCACAGACATGGAGTAAGAGTGTGTGTAGAGAAATCAGTGTGTTGTGGGTGTAAGTTTGTGTTTCCCCAAAAGGTTAAGTGGGAAAATTTAGGAGTGATTCCATAAAAGTATGCACTGGGAGTGGTTGGGAAATAAAAAGTATAGAGGTTTTGCTTTTCTCTGTTGTTTGGAGAGTATCGTCAATATGGAAATTGTTATTGTTCTAATGAAGTATCTAAGGATTCAGGGTTTTATGCTGTGGGCTGCAGAGCAGACCAAGGACTTTATAAAAGACATCTTAAATTACAGATTTATGCTTAAATGTGGTTAATTTTTTTATCCTTTTGCCTGTTCTGATTGGGCCCTAAGGAGCAGTTGTTTGTAGAGATGAGCAGCATTTTCACTCCATTGAAGGAGATGAGGTTTAAATATGTGAGGTGTGGTAGGTGCTCAGGTCTTGTACAGGAGGAAGTAATAGGAAAATCAAAAGGTTCAGGTGAAAAGACCCAAGAAGAGAACATATCAGGCAGAGCAGAACAGGGCAGTCAGCAGATGAGGAGCATGTATGAGTAGAACTGAAAATGGGAGAAAATTCAGTTCGGTTAGAGGTCACAGAGGAGGGTTAGTTAATTCCAGCACTCCTCGAGTTTGACAATTTAGGATTCCTTCTTTCAGATGCTTGCTGGCATGCCCTTTGAAGCCTGTCAAGGGCCACCTTCCTCCTGCTTAGTGTCCCTACCCCAGCTCCAGGGGCAGGACTCCCTCCCCCTTGTCAAAGGGAAAGTGAGGGCTGTGGCTGGTTGGAGACAGTCAGGAACCACGTGATGTTAACAAGCGCTTAGCACTAAATAGAGTCACTTTACCTTCTGTAATTTAGGGGAATTGAAAAAATATCTTGGAAAGAAATCAGTTCTTGAGAACAAATTCTCTTTTGTGCCTGTGTCCTTGTTTTTAGCACTGAACATTTTTCAGGATAGGCTCTTGAGATCTCTCCTCTAAGTGGGATCAGAATTCCAGTAACATCTGCATATATCCAGGTTGGCACACTGTGATCATGAAAAGAGTAATTAAAGACATTTAAGAGGCTACCAAATAAGAATGGATAGGTGAGGTGAGTAGGAAGAACAGCTTGCGCACCAGCTTCTAGAATTCTCAGATGGAAGAATATCACCTAAAGACTGAGGAGGATTCTTTCAGTTTGACCCAAACTCTCCATTTACGGATGAAAAAACTAATTTAATCGTTTCATGAGACCCAGTGTGATTAAGGGGCCACAGTAAATGTAGCTACTTAATGGTACTTTGGGACTGCAAGCTGCATGCATTCATGTATTTATGATTATCAAGAAGCACGGGGTGGTATTTATTCTTTTTTTTTTTTAATTTAAGTACAGTCAGTTACAATGTGTCAATTTCTGGTGTACAGCACAATGTCCCAGTCATGTTGTTCTTAAGTCTTAAAATGGTGACAGATGAAAATCTCTTTTTTTCTGAAATTTATGTTAGTTCAACTGCCTTGGACAGACTCCATGGTAAGAAGTGGGTTGCGTCTGAAAAGTGATTCAAACTAAGAGAGCTTATCACATGGTAATAATGTTACAAAGGGGAGTAGTTCCTAGCAGAGGCCAGGAAAAGCTACCCTACAGTGTAGCTGAAACACTTAGCAAAGTTTACAGTTGAGAAACGTGGAGAGTAATCTGGTATATATTAGGCAGTCAACTAGTTAGTAGCTATCAGGATTATTAAGAAAAGTCGTACAACTATAATCTCATAATACTTGTAATTAAGTAAGATAAATTTTTAAAAATCTGAATAAAAGGTTTTTGAAAATCTTGACTGTTGAGATACACGAAGCGAAAAGAATGAGAGGACTTTCAGTTTTGGCAGGTGTGAGTTCTGATTGTTGTTTTGCAAGTTGTTTAACTTTAGGGAGTGAGACTAAATTTGTACTTTGCAGATTGGCGATACTGTGCGTTTTAGGGAGTTGATGTGAGGGTTAAGTGCCTGACACTGTCTGAAATACAGTAGGCACTCAATAAATGTATTCTTTATCCTGGTCCTTGCGGCAAAAGCAGGTTTAATATGAAGATGATGAGACGTTCATAAACTTTTCTGGGGAAGTTTCTG